TAGTGATAGGCGATTCCAGAAATTTGCATTAGATCCCGATTCTAAATACTTTTGAGACTGGAATCGATGGCATCAAATACCGATTCCGAGTATTACATCTGCACATGCGCAAAGCCACTTGTTATAAATTACAGCAATAAAAATGCAATAATGATGAATAATTGAGGTATTAACTACTGATTAATTAACTATTATCAACATTAAAAGGTGTGGCTGGGTGTGGTTTAATTCGGAATTGTTTCAAACGATTCCTACTTCTCTTTCGATACGAGTTTGATTCCATTCGGAATCGAAGGATCAAATACTCCGGACTCAGAATCGCCCATCACTAATAAGTCTCATATGAAAGCTTCGTTGAATGCTTTTTCTGGTTATAGTAGGAAAGTTGGAAGTTAATGAATACTGTTTATTTTGGTTTTATCTCAAAGTGATGCATTTGTTTTTAACAGAACCAACGTCTGCAGACAGTGTCAGGAACTTTGAATTGTTTCTAAGGGATGCCGTCCTTGTCAGGAACTTTCAATTGTTTCTAACAATTCCTATCCTAGGCATTGCAGGAGGACCTACTCCACTGGTGTTCGTAAAGGGCAATCCCTTTTTAAGAGCCTATCATAAATTAAGACAGCCTGAACTCTCTGTTATTATCAACTTTCTGACTGTAAAAGAAGAATGGGCAAAAGAATGCCAGTGACGCTGCTTATCAGCTGAAACATTCATTACAATATCAAAAGATAGTGCTCCTGGATTGTGCACCATGACTCCAGTAAATGCAGGACCTTTTAGTAAGTGTATTGACAAAGTTTTGTAACATGTACATGTGCATGTACATCTAGCCTCATCTGCAGGCAGGGAGAGCCTAGTATCAGTTGTTTGCACACCTCAGTCTGGCTATGTGTTTTTGTTGTGCAAACCCTGGGTGACGGAGACAGGGCCAGACTAGCGCATCTGTAAAGTAAATAAATGATAATGCTAATGCATTAGCAACATCAGACATATACATGTACTGCTGATATAGGTACATGTACATCTAAAATATTAACTTTAAAAATTAAGTCTAAATAATAGAAAGAGTAAATAATACCTAAAGAGAGTATCCAATGGGCCAAATCTCGGCTACTGCAAGAGTGTGGATTTTTAGAAAGTCACGTTCAGTATACTTCTGTATTTTATCAATGATAATGTTGTTATAACAACACATCT